AATCTCCCATAATCTACCGACTATTTGCTCTACGCGGTTTCACCCATCCGGCGCCCGCCGTTTCGCAAAATTCCGTTAGAAATCAGAAATTCGTTCCTGCTGTGCTGATTAGTTTTAGATTTAAGCCGGTTTATCCTCGCCGCTGTTTCATTATACTTAAATTTAATTTGAATATCCGGAGGCATCGGGGGCCAACGTTTAGAAGAAATAATACAATTTGCGGCGGGACCAACTAAATTTAAATAAGAATTAGCGATGCTCTAATTACCGTTTGGCCGCTCTACAAGGCGAAGATAGAAACGCGAAACCAACTCGCGTCGTATCGATTTCTTAACGACCGGGGCGGCTTATTCCGGATCCCCGGATTAACTAAGAAGTTAATCGTTCCGGAGAGATATTAGATGTAAAGTAAGCCTCGCTTATCGATATTTATAGTGGAAGTATCACGAATACTTTTGATTGGGTCAACGAAGCAAAGGGAGACCATTTTCCACGTATAATTTATGTAGCATACTCTTGTTTTTCATAATAATAATAATAACCTTTATTGAGATATTTTAAATTATTCCACAAGATTTGGACAAAATTATCTAATACCAACCAAACGGTGAAGTCTAGCTTAAGATCTTGATCTCAGCTACTCAACATTAACCGAATATTACAATAATAATGAAACAACAGGCTATACTAATAATGATAAGAGAATAAAAATTAATTATTGGTAAAATGCTAATTTGTTTAGGACAGAGACTTTTGTAATTCCAATAAGTGGACCTTAAATTTTTTCCTAAATACTAGAACTGAGCTGGATTCAGAATATTTATTAAAACTATTAGAAAGCTTAATGGCACTATAGCTAGAGCAGCGTTCAAATTCACATATCCAGAATGTTCGTCGTCGTCCTTAGAGAAGCATTGTGAATTTCATACCGAAACACTAGAAAATCTTTCAGGTATGTTGGTAAAGAATATTTCATGACCTTAAATACTGGGTGCGGCAGCATAACTTCCTTTTTTTAAATGCGCGCCATTCAGTTAGTTGATGTCATAGTGGGGCGCTAGTGGTCTCGTTCAAGAGGGGGTACTGTAAAGTTTTGTCCCGACACGGTTCAGTCGCCATCATGCGTTGGAATAGTGAGGAGCGTGCCTTTGCCGTTGAGGCCTACTTTTCAAGCGGTTGTTCGGTTGTTGCAACACAGCGTGCATTTCGGAATCGCTTTAATTTAGCCCCGTTGGCTCCCGTCCCGGACCGCAAATCAATTGTTACATGGGTCACTACATTCAGACAAACTGCAAGTGCGACAAAACGAAGAACTGGAGTCCCTCGGCCCGTTAGATCACCTGAGAACATTGAAGCAGTGAGAGCTTCAATGTTGCGATCACCACGGCGTTCTGCGCGCAAACACGCATCTGCCCTTGGACTATCCGATCGTTCTGTGAGAAGAATTCTTCGTGATGATCTTCATTTTCATCCCTATAAGATGGCGATAGTGCAGGAACTTACAGAACGTGACTTCAATTGTCGGATGAATGCGTGTGAGCTTCTTCTTGATGTCGTTCCCGAGGGTGCTATTGTTTTTTTTAGCGATGAAGCCCATTTTCATTTATGTGGGTCGGTTAACAAACAAAACATGCGCTACTGGGCTGACACCAACCCTCGACAATTGCATCAAAGGCCTTTGCATTCACCCAAAGTCACAGTGTGGTGTGCAATTTCCTCAGCTGGAATTATTGGTCCCTGGTTTTTTGAGGAAAATGAGGTTACACTGACAGTGAATTCGGACCGGTATGTAAACATGCTACAGAATTTTTTTTTCCCACGGCTAGAAGAGTTGGATTTGGGGGACACTTGGTTCCAACAAGACGGTGCAACAGCACACACTTCAAGAGCATCGATGGCTGTTTTGAGGGAACACTTTCCTGAGCGCCTTATCTCAATTAGAGGCGATTTGGAATGGCCGGCACGCTCTCCCGATCTGTCCCCTTGTGATTTTTTTCTATGGGGTTTTTTGAAATCCCTGGTTTATGTGAACCGTCCAAGAACCCTACAAGATTTGAAGACCAACATCGAAGAAGAAATTGCCAACATAACACCAGCTATGCTAACAAGAGTCATGACAAACGCCAGATATCGGTTTACGCAATGTATGGAGAATGAGGGACGTCACCTAACAGATTTGATCTTCAAAACAATGTAAATAAAAACTTTAGACATGTACCTACATTATAAAAAATAAATAAAGATTTTCCGATGCACACAATAGTTTTTATTGAGTTTTGAAAAAAGGAAGTTATGCTGCCGCACCCTGTACAACAATTGCGAGTAAAAATTGAAACGGATACGAGATTAGCACCAAAATTTCCCGGCCTGACATAGATGCAGCTCCAGTGTCACGATAAAACTTTGTCTTCTTTTAAATATATATCCTAGTAGGCTGCGAAAAAAAAATGAAATCTTGCGTCCAATAGTTTTTTATTGACAGCATTTTTAACAAGACGTGTCCGAAAAAATGTCGCAAATAACGCAAATTGAGTATAGAGCAATCATAAAGTTTTTGACAAAAGAAGGGTTAGCACCTAAAATTATTAAAGAAAGGCTGGATGGTGTGTACGTCCAAAGTTCTCCTTCGTATTCTGTAGTCAAAGAATGGCCAAAACGTTTTCCAATGGGGCAGGAGTACCTTGAAGAAGGAGTAAAGTGGAGGCCATAACGGAAGATATTGTTGCGATTGTGGAAGAGGTGGTATTGAGTGATCGACGTTTAAAGGTCAAGGAAATCTCAGAAATTACTAAGCTTCATTACTATTTACTACTTACTAAGATCATTTAGGTATGCATAAGGTTAGTGCAAGATGGGTTCCTAAAAACCTTTGGGCTATTCAAAAACAACGCCGTGTCGAGTGTGCGGGGTCTTTTTTGGAACTCTGTGGGTAGGAACCGAAGCATGTGCTAGAAACTATTGTGACGAAACTATGGTTCTCTATTATAAACCTCTATCCAAAAAAAGAATCAATGGAGTGGCGTCGTAAGGGTGAAGCACCTCCAAGGAGATTCAGAGTCTGCCAGTCAACAAAAAAGGTGATGGCCACAATCTTTTGGGATTTTGAAGGAATTCTTTTGATAGATTTTAAAGAACTAATACCACTGTTAATGGTAAATATTACGCAACATTATTACATAAATTGCGAGACTGCATACGTGTAAAACGTTGAGGAAAACTGAAAAGAGGCGTGCGTCTTCTTTACGATAATGCACCTGTTCATGCTGCTGGTGTTGCACAAGCTGCCATTTTAGAGTGTGGGTTCCCACAGATAGATCATCCTCTCTATAGTCCAGATATGGCCCAAAGCGACTATTGTTTGGATATTTGAAAAAGGCCTTACGTGGATGGCGGTTTAACGACGAAGTTGAGTTAAAAGAGGCTGATTTAGTTGTTAATAAAGAGATGTGATAAGTGTGTTGAAGTTAAGGGGGATTATATTGAAAAATAATAAAACATTGTTACTCTACTTTGTTTCTTTCATATTCAGGCCGGGAAATTTTGGTGCTGCTAATTTTAAGCCATGTAACGGTTAAGAATGGATAGTATAATGGAAGACAGAATATAACTTTAGAAAGGATACATGGCTCAGAGCGTTTTTTTGGTACTTTAAAGTTCAATATATGTTTATTTGCATGTAGCGCTTTGAGGGATATATACGTCTTGTTCCATAAATTAGAAATGTGGCCACTATATCTCAGTTGACCATCCATTATCACTCCCAAGTTTTTTGCTTCATTTGTAAATTTAAGATCTTCATTTTCCAATTGAATTTTAATATGATTACGCAAAAAATTACAGCTTCCAGGGGGAGCAAAAAAATAAAAAACATTACTATAGAAAGAAAGTGAATCGAAACCCAGAGAATTCAAATTTTAATTTTTATTTGGTTCGATATGTTACGTATATTCTGTGTTAGTGTACGGCGTAAAGGTTGGGAACCTTAAGATTAATACTATAAACCGATTTGAAGCGCTTCAAATGTGGTTATTCAGAAGACTACTGAGAACATTACGGAAAGAGCATACAACAAACATTGAAGTTCTGAGACGTATGAATAATTAAAAGAAGAAAAGTAGGTTATCTGGAACACGAATACGAATTCCTGAAGCTAATTATGGAAGGAAAGATTGAGAAAAAACCCCGCATCGGAAGGAAAAAGTACGCATGCCTTAAAAATGTTACCAACATCCATTAAATGAATATGGCACCTTAAGAAGAAGAAGATTGCATATGAAGGCGAAATGAAAACTGAAGCAGAATTTTGTAATTTGTTCAACGCAGAGAGATCTATACGAGATCCACAGTTTGTTAAATTAAGAGAAACAAATAAAATATTTCATGAGGTGTTGAAAATGTCCACCATTAACTTCTTGACAATATGTTAAAATATTATTCAGGATATTTTCATTAATTTGCCCGATTTCGTATCTAATCATCTAAATTTTGTGGTTTTTCCTTATACGCTTGTGATTAAAGAAGGCCTTGTTGGATAAATTTGAAGCACTTGCTTCCCTACCGAACAATCATATGCTCCAGCACGATGCTTCAGTATCAAAACAGCGTAAGAGGAATTATCGGAATTCGCCAAATTATTGCATCGAAAATAATTGCTGATGCAAAAAAGAGAGTCTAAAGAAAACCTTTGGGTCAAGTTTCGGCTATAATATTAAAATATACACTTACCTTAGTACAAAAATAACCACAACAAACTTGAAAAATGAAGTAAGTTTCAATTGATTGATTGATTGATTGAGATAGTGTTACCACTGTTTTCTCTTTAGCATTTTTTATGGTGGGTCCTTGTGAGTTTTCTAGCAAGATCTTACCATCTAAGTAAGCAAACAATAATTATCAAATTGTGTTTGGTTCTCTTGTTATCAGAATCAGAATATTGATAATTTATTTATATAATAATAAAAAATATTTACTCAGTTGGTATAAATGCGTTCAGAGCTTACCTCATCTTTCCCTTTCATCACACACATTCTTGCGTCGTGCTCATTAGAATACCACATCAGTCTCTGCTGCTCTCCTAGATCCGACAAGGTCAGGTTATACACCAAATTTCTGTAACAAAAGATTGTGTTAATATTTATCGTCGTATTCCTTTTTGAGTTTTAAACAGAATTGCTTTATGCTAAACAAGGTAGACAACTTGAAGGTTATATTGTAAAGTGATAGCGGCGTTACTACAGGTAGTTTACTAGAATAATAAATATAATAATATTGATTCATGATAATAATTAACATTCTCAGAAACAAATGCATACCTTGGAGCAAGTAAATCGTTGGAGGGCTGGAAAATGATTAAAAACCTGAAATCTGAGCATAAACTGACCCACGCCGTTGCCTTTAATAGATATAGGAGCATGCAATCGGCATTATCAATGGAAACTGATAGAACATCGTGACAAATATCTCTTACGATAAGTAAGGGGTGTTTTTTTTTCGATGTATAGAACTCTAAGTTGCAATAAAACAACGATGGATTAATCGATTGACATGAATTTTATTTATCCGAAAGATAATCTTGTGACATTACATTGTAAATATGATTTCTGGCATATGACCGCCACGGCTGGCGCGGATGTAGTCCAATCTGGACGTGTAATTTTCGATGTTGTCTTCCAAATTGTCAAGCGTTTGTGGCTTATCCGCATAGACCAATGACTTTACATAGCCCCACAGAAAGTAGTCTAGCGGTGTTAAATCACAAGGTCTTGGAGGCTAATTCACAGGTCCAAAACGTTAAATTAGGCGGTCACCAAACGTGTCTTTCAATAAATCGATTGTGGAACGAGCTGTGTGATATATTACGATTTCTTGTTGAAACCACATCTTCTGGACATCATGGTTATTCAATTCAGGAATGAAAAAGGTAGTAATCATAGTTCTATACCGATCACCATTGACTGTAACGTTCTGACCAATGATTCCACCAACCCATAAAGCGCACCAAACAGTCAGTTTTTCTGGATGTAACGATGTTTCGACATACACTTGAGGATTAGCTTCGCTCCAAATGCGGCAGTTTTGTTTATTGACGTAGCCATTCAACCAGAAGTGCGCTTCATCGCTAAACAAAATTCGCTTGTGAAAATCGGGAACAACGGCAATCTCGTTTAGGATCCATTCGACGAATCTACGCCTTACTTGATGATCGTTTGGTTTCAATTCTTGCACGAGTTGGATTTTGTGAGCACGTAAACCAAGATCCTTCCGCAAAATCTTCCATAAAGTGGATGGACACAGATCCAATTCCTATGCTCGACTGCTTATGGACTCATTCGGGTCTTCCTCAATGCTACGCTCTACTCCATGGTTAATCGAATTAACTGCTGTGATGGACGATTTTGTCGACGATAAAATGGACGTAGTGCGCGATATGTATTCCGCACAGAACCATTATTTTCGAAATAAAATTGCAAGCGTTGTTCAGGCATGAGTCTATTCATGGTGAATTGCCAAACCAAGCTAATAAATCACTTGGCAGCTGTTAAATCGGTCGCCATCTTGGACAGTAATGCCAACTTAAAGTTCAATACATCGAAAAAAAAACACTATATAGTGTGAAATGATGCGAACAGCCCGCAAACCTATAGTCGTACAGAGGGAATACCTACAGAATTGTTGAAATGTGCTTGGACAAATCTCATAGATTAGAAATAGTGACAATTTTCCAAAAGAAATGCTTACCTTAATAGAAGCAAATAAACTACAACAATAAACTAATGAAAGTTAGATATTACACGTTATGACGTTTTATGATAACAATAAGTTTGCAGCAAACATTGTTGGAGTATAAAATAACAACATTACAAAACACAAAAAACTACATTATTAAGAAAAAGAAAGAAAAACTAAAGGTAATTCTCAAATTGATGACAATTTTTTCTAATGCAAAATTGGCACATTGTTATAAGGCTATCATTGGTCTAATTCGTAGATTTCGAAGGGCTGAACGAATTGCCCCTAGAAGTTCTGCTATGCAGTCATATTGCGTATTATGTATTTCATAGACCCATTAAAAAAATCGAAAATTGAGAGATCGGGATATTTGTGAAGGCCACCTAACGGGTCCGTTGGCACGCATCCATCTATTAGTAGATTCTTAAGAAATTGTCTAAAGAGTCTGTAGATAAACAGCATTATATTCGACCAATGAAATATTTTTTCTTCAAGGATTTTTAGGTATTTACGTGCTGTCAGGCTTTCTTAAAAAATATAAACTATCTGTTTGCCCAAAATAAAACATGACACTTCAGGTTGTTGCAAATACGGCTGGCAAAACTGAAAAAAAAATTGAGCATTAAACACTATCTTGGGCATGAACAACATAAATAAAGACAGAAAACATCCGTTATATAAGAACATATTTATACGTATCGATAAAACAACAGAAGTTAAACTAGATTCCACTGACATGGGACTCTTGAAGATCGGCGGGGACATCTAGACTTGAAAGAATAATAAACGAGAGGATTAGGAGGACCATGAATGTACAGAGCCATCATTAAAGATATCCAAGAACTTCAGCTAAAATGGTATGGTCCCTGACCAAAGAATATCCAAAAAGATACTGATCTGGAGATCTCGGGCAAACAGAGAACAGGGAAGGCCTAAGATTGCGCATTTACAATTCATTAGAATTTTAATTGTTCTAATAAACATTTAATACAAAAATACAATAAATGTAACTTGTAACTTTTAGTCATCGTGTTCACGAGTAGTATAATAAGAAGCTCTATAGCCAATCATCCTGTTGGCTTCTTCAGAGCTTGACTGAAACTGTTCAGTTTCAGTCAAGCTCTGAAGAAGCCAACAGTATGATTGGCGAAACGTCAGCAACTTCGACTAAGCAAAAACCGACGCAGGAGGAATCCAAAAGTTTTGTCAAAAACATTACAGTAGCCTGTGGAAGTTTCTTTGAAAAATTGAACCGACCCCGTAGCTTTTTAGCTTTGTTTTGGAAGCACCGATTAAAATTTGCGATTTTTCTGATATAATTCCACCATTTAAGATAAAGTTATTCATTAAAACATTGCTCGTAGCGGAAGAATTTTTAAGACAACGAAAGAACTATCTCGCCTCAAGGAAATCTTTTTAATCGTTTTCGTTTTCGGAAGAAAGAAGTAAATTAATATTTGCCTTTTCGCATATTGCATTGCTTTTCCTGTTACAAACAGTTTTCAGAAATTATTTTTTAAAATCCGATTCTCAGAATTCGTCCACAACAAAAGTTTAAATTTCCGACAAAATAATGGCGATTCTTCGAAGTCTGAAAGAGTTTTTATTTCCACAAAAATCCGATAAAATGGATGGAATGCTTGAATTATTTCTGCGAATTTGCTGGTGTGGGTAGATTGGAATATGAGGAAATGAAATTTCCGTGCCGACGTAATATTATAAAAAGACCCTTTCCAACAATTTACAGGGTTTATTCAAAAAGAGAACATAAGTAAACTTTTCAAAGAAACTTCCACAGGCCACTGTTTGGAAATCTTGTGGCGTTTCGTCAATTATACTGTTGCCTTGTTCAAAATTCAGTTGAAACAGGATGAAAATGTCAGCAAGTTGTATGCATCACCAACCAACGGAGGAGAACTCCAGAAGACTTGTAAATAGCATTACAGTAGTCTGTAGAAGTTTGTTTTTTCATATAGTCGGGAAAATGCCATCAAATTCTCTTTCTATAGGTGGTGGTGGTGCAGATTTCAGTAGAAAGAGTGTCTAACTTCTGCGTCCACCGTCTAAACGATAAACGCCATCTTGAGATATTAACATCTCTAAAATGCAGACTTCTAACTAGGTACCTATAAAGGGAGTATCAACAATGAACTATAAAGGCTGAAAGCAGGACATGTTGGGAGTAAAATGAAATTGGGATCCATTATCAATGTTACCACAATCCACAATTTTTATTTTAGATTTTGAAAAAGAAAATCAAGTTCAATACAATTTGATGTGTAGCTTGAGTATTACGTTACACCCCGATAGTGTTTTTACTAGACTGGCTGGCTTCCATTAGCCTTGTCGTCCAGTAAAATGGCACTTTCGGGATTTGTTACGTGTTACTATTAGATACAGTTTAACTCAAAAATATGTATGATATTTTAGAAAATATATTATTTATTACTATTGGATCGGTTCGTTCCAAAAGGCAGTCGTATTTTTTAGTATTTCTGTTATCGAATTGCCAAAATATGCTTCCTGTCGCCATAGGCCCCGAACCCAATTTGTCAAAATGTAATAAATCGCGCAAATTTTACCGTGTTAATTAAAAATCGTCGTCCGTGCGCTAAATTTAATTTTGCACATTCCAAAATCGATAAACTTAATAAACTAAATCTGTTGTTATCGAATAACGTCGATGCATATATTCCTATGGCGATAAATCAGATAAATTTTGAGAGCTTTCATAAAAAAATGTTTGCCCGCGCCGACCGGACGCTCTCGCACACGCCATTATTGAAAACACTATGGCATTGGAATATCGTTGATGTTCATAATTTTAAATTGTTGTACGGGATTAATGGCCGGAAAAAACGTCTACCGAAACCATATTTATGTATTTATATTTAATCTATTTCCCTGTTTTTCGATTAATTTAAAATCAAGTAATTTTATTTGTTTCAATTATTTCGTGCAATCCTCGTTAAACAGCTGAAGGTTTTTGATGTTTTTGTATTCTTGTTTTGTTTGCTGTTTTCGAAAATACGGAGAACTTTATTTTCAACCCTAAGTGTTTCCAACATCCGAATAATGAGAGAGTAGATTTTCAACGAGCCGGTAGATACAGATATATGGTTTTCAAAACATTGAAAGTCAACCGGAACAAAATTTAACAGAATTTATAGACATAAAAAAAAGTTAGACATAAAACTTGTAGAGTCTTAATGTGTATAAAAAGAAAGGTAATTTTAAGTTGATCTCAAAACATATATAACGTGCTATAGTTATTTTGGCATCACAATGGAGCACGGTCTACTTTCAACATTATTATTGTTCAATATTCGATATAAGAATAATGTTTTCACGAAAAATTCAAAATATTTGTTGAAAAAATG